GCCCCTGAAACCCACCCCCTGGGGCTGAGCCTCCTCTATCTCACGCTGCCAGTCCCCTTCTCTGCCCTCTGCCTGCCAAGGGCTCGGCCCAACTTATCCCCACCATGCCCTGCCCCATTCCAGTTCACCGACTCTGGTTCCTGAGGTTGGCCTGGTCTAGAGATTGCAAAGCGACAGCAATAGGCTAGTTTAAATGATGGTCTACCCTGGTATGTGGCAGTTCTTGTGCTTGTCTGTTTTTAATTTAAATCTGAATGCCTTTAGGCTAGACGCATATTCTCCACCTCCCCGGAGACCCCACAACTCCCTATGCTGTCAAACATGCGGGAGAAGAAAACCAGCTTTACTGAACCCACCATACACTAGGCTCTGTGTATATTTTGCCTTACTTAATCCTTCCAGCAACCCCAAGTGGGTGACATTACTATCTCTGTTTACTGGTGGGAAAACAGAAGCTCATGGAAGTTGGGCGACTTGCCCACATCATACAACTACAACCAGCAAGCCATAAATCCAGATTTGAACCAAGCTTGCCAGATTCTGAAACCCATCCTATTCCCACGACACCATTAGTGGAAGCAGTAGGTCTTGATTAGACTATGCATTAAGGAGTCCCCTCTGCAACAGTGTGGAAGAGAAAACAGAAGGGAAGGAAAGCGAGTGAATGGACAGTTCAGGTAGTGCAGGAAAAAGTGGGGGGCGGACGGGAACTCAGGTTGCAGCCCTGGGAACAGACAGTAGATCAGGACCGGCTGGGGAGAGACAGGACAGAGGTGGCTAAGGGACAGCAATGATCTCTGCAAGGGTTAGGGAGAACGTGGAGGAAGAGGCAGCTTGGGACGAGTATCTAAGGGGCCCCTGAAACATCACGGTGAGGATTTTGTGTATCCATCACAAATCAAACTGGCCAAGAAGAGAGCTGGGTGAGAGGTGGAGACTTGATCAGCCTTTCCTTAAGAGCGCTGGTCAACCTCGGGTGCACAGGAGGGTTCCAGGGAGAGGAGCGTAGGAACGGCAAGCCAGCCTGAGGACACAGTGTTGGCCCCATTCTGACACTTACAGGGCAGGAGGAGGACGAGAAGCTCGAGGTCAAGGAAGGAAACGACAGTGGGGACGGTGTGGCCCCCTCCAAGGAGCTGAGCAACAGCTGCAGAGCAGGCTGGCGACTGAGGATTACCAAGCCCTGGAAGCCTTGCAAAGGGCAATGTAAGCAGCAGGGCAGGTGCACGGTGCCGAGTGAGGAGAGCACCAAGTGCAAGGGCAAGTGCTGGCTGCTCTTTCTAGGAGCTGGTCAGTGAAAGGGAGAGGAAATGTGGGGTCTTCTTGTTTAAGAGACTGAGCATGTGGTGGAGGGGAAGGAATCAGTGACCAGGGAGTTATGAAGGGAATCGTCTCCATCTCCATCTCCGAGGGAGGAGAGAGCTGCATCAGGGGTGTAGGTGGAGAAGGTGCCCTCCCGCTGGCCAGGAGAGCACCTTTTCCTTGAGAGAAAAAAAAAGCTATAGGGGAAATTCCAGGGATGTTCTGAACTGGCAAGGAGGGAAGCTGATGGAGTGTGTGTCAAGAAATGAGGCATGAGGATCTGCTGGAAGTGAGATGGGTACCTCCTCCCACAAGAACCTATCTCCCCACCCCCAGGGAGGGGCGCTCACTGGGCTCCATCAGTAACCCCAGGGCCACAGAACCTGCACGGACACTTGGGTGCACACTGCTCTTGCTACAGCGCCGTCTAAGCCTGTACCACCGCTTGCCTCCAGGTAACAAAATGCAGAGAGTGCTCATCACTGTCACTGCAAATGGACTTCGAATTTTTCTATGAGAACCACTGAGTATTTTCACTTTTATTTTCCCCTGGCCCTCCAGCCCACTTCCTCACAAGACAGGGCCTGCCGGGGACTCTAGGGGGAAAAAACCGCTGTGTGACCCTCCAAAATGCTTTGCTCTGCGCAAAGCAACAAACTCACTGGGGCCCGACCATGGCCTCAGCAGCCCTGGGGATGACTTCTGCCCTGCAGCTTGCTCCCCTCTAACCCTGACACACACACACACACACACACACACACACGCACGCATGCACGCACGCACGCACGCACGTACACACATCCACCTACTACACTCTGCTGGGGTGATAGCTCCTGCCCCAGAGGAACGTTAGAAAAAGCCATCACCTGGACAGGAAGAGCTGTTCAGAGGCAGAGTCGGCCACTGACCCCTTCCCCTGGTCTGTCAGCTCTTATTAAAGACCCCGGATCAGTGACAGAGGTGTCAGGCAGCCTTTGATGCATGCCTTTCTGGTTTCCTCGCCCTCCTGCCCAGAATCCTGGCTTCCTCTAGCTAAAAAAACTATGAGAAGAGCACGTGGATTGGAGTCTGAAGACTTGGGCTGGAGTCCTGGCCGGTCCCTACGTGCTGTGAGATCTTTCAAGTCACTTCTGAGGTCCGGCTTGCAGCCAGGTAAAGTGGAAGGAACAGCACCTATCTCTCCCTGCTCTCAGGGAGGCAGTGAGAAGTTCATCAGGTGAGACAGGCTATCTCTCAACTGGACGGTGCTACTCTGACTTCGGGGGTTTAAGCCAGTCCTGCTGGCAGCTCAACCTGTCTCTCCAGAGCCTCACCCAGCACACGTTCCCCAGCCATCAGGCCCTGGCAGCTCAGAGCCCAGGGGAGACACAGCTCAAATGAATTCAAGGCCAACATTTGTTTAGGCCTCCTCTGTGCCAGATGCCAGAATACAAACAAGACCAGACACAGGTCTCGCCCTGAGTTCACTAACCGAAGTAGAACTAACAGAGCGGGTGTCTGTTCATGCCGTGGCCAGGTCAGAGTCTGGAGGAGAACTTGCTCTGTGTTGCCGGGAACAGACCATACATGCATTTTTAGAGTCTGGGTCCCCTTATTAACCCTTCTTGAGGGGGAGCTGGGCAGATGTAGCTCTCTGTGAAACCAGGGTGAAGGGCCTGGAGCAGAGGAACCGGAGTCCTTGGAGACCCAGGCCTGGCCCAGCAGTGGAGCCCAAAGGGTTATTTCACTTCTCAGTGCTTCACCCGCACCAACTGGGCCATGTGGAGAATAATCCTGCTTTGGCTTGAATCTCAAGGGTATCGTGGAGAACAAAATGAGAACAAAATGACAAGAGCAATGACAAAATGCTTTGAAAAGGAAAGAGCTTTATAAACAAGGCACTATTAGTTTTTCCTCAGGGTCCTCTCCAGTAAAGCTGAGATAATCACAGGAGGTCTGTTTGTCTAAATGCTGACGAGCCTTTCCCAGGGCTAGCCTAATGGCACTGACTCAGAGGCATCCAGCTCCCTCACTCTGCAGTCATCTCCACTGAAATATCTCAGTCCCTACAGTTGGTACTTCCAGTGGACGCGACTCCATCTCCGTTCCATATTGTTTCCGCTACTCTGCCACCCATAGCCAGTGGGTACTCAGGTGATGCTTGCGGACTGATGGAAACACTGCCCGTCTTTCTCCTTAGGCCAGCCACAGACCTCTGCCCCGAGGACCTGAGAAAGTCACTACCTCCATCACCGCCCCTCTGGCAGGACTTCTAGAGTTTGGCTCAGATGGGAGGCTTTCTCCTGCCTATGTCCAGGACCCAGAGAGAGAGGTTCCAGCATCTGAGCACCAACCCATTCCACTGAGTTCAAAGCAAGAACAAAAACAAAACAAAAGCACCTTGATAAAGCTAGACATTTTCTGCTTCCACCTCACATTCATCTTTTCTACAGCAATTTCTGTCTCTCCAGTCCAAATTAGAGTTGGAGGTGGGAGTGTTTAGATGATAAGGTTTTCACCCAAACCATCAACTGTGCTAACGCCCCTGTCTTCAGCTGTCTGTGTGTAAAGCAGAGCAGGCAGCTGCACTCCGGATTTGAGAGGTTCTAGCCCAGCCTTTCCCTGCCTAAAATTATCTCACACACCCCCAGAACTGCTCTACTTCCAGAAGCACTTCAACCAATTTCTTTGTATTTTGCGTCTTCCTTTTAAAATGCAAATATCTCTGAAAGGAGGAATGCATTCCACTGACCCGACCACAGTTCTCACCCAGCACCTGTGTCCAATAAATATTTACTTAATCCCATTGCTTACTAGAGGCCTGTCCTCAAGGGACTCGGGTCAGAGCCCGGCGCTGTGGAAGGTGGGGTGCGCAGGGGGCAGTCCGGGCGGGAGCCACGCCTCATTTCACCAACCCCACCGCGAGCCCTGAGCAACCTTGCCTGCCACAGCGAGGTAACTGAGTTCTGATGAAAGTAAATCTGAAATAGCCAAATATGGAAACGCTGCAGGAGGAGGCAGAACCAGCCGAAAGAGTCGGAGGAGACGGCCAGAGGGGTTAGTGGCAACAGCGTGGCCCCAGTATTCACTAAAAATTCTCAGAACTGACAAAACCCTGCAGAGCAGTAACGAGGGGGAGGCAATCTGGTTTCCACCAATTCTCTGTGTGTCCCTGGGTAACTCATTTCAACCTCTGTGAGTCTTGGTTTCCTGCAAGACCCCTCTGAGCCCCCCTTGGCTGGGGGTGAGGGTGGTTCTAAATGAGCACGCTCAATCGAACAGTTCTTGGAGGTTTCCATTCATGCCAACATTAAAGTTTCACTCTAGAATACTTTGGCTGGAAAGTCATGCAAACGTGGAAAGAGGGGGGACCTAAGGGCATGGAGGGGGAACCAGGGGTTTGCAGTGCGGGCATGCGGGGCACGCCTTAAGGTCCTCCCCCGCCTGCGCACCCCGACCTGAACCTGGCCCCTCCAGTTCACACTCACGCCCTGGAGCCGCTCCTAGGCTCGGGACCCCCAGTCTCCGTCCTCGCCACATCCCTCCTCTGCTAAGAAAACCCGCTCCGGGTTCCCGCAACCCAGGTGCCCCCCACACCGCACCCACTCGCCCGCATCAAGGACCACCTGCTCCTCCGGCTTCCCGTGACCCCGGGTCCGGGCCCCGTCGCCTCCTTCCGCCCACCCCCCGCGCCCTCCCGGCGGCCGTCGGGGACTCACCGGGCTCGAGTGGGACGGGCAGCCAGGCCCGGGTCCCCGCAGACCGGCGGGGGGCTCCTGCCGCCGCGGCGCTTTCGGTTTCAAAGTAAATGGGATGAGCCGAAAAGCGCTCCCCTCACTCCAGTCCTACAGTGTGGGGCTCAATCCCCGCGACGCAGCCGACCCGGGCGGCGACCGGGCTGGACTCACGTGTGGGCCGGCGGGCGGGGGTTCGGCCGCCTCCCGGCTGCAGGCGCGCAAGGACTCCAGGGCTGCGGCGGCGAGGCGGGGGCTCGGCTCTCAGCCCCGGAGCCCGGCGCTCGGAGCCCCACCCCCGAGGAAGGAGGGCGGGCCTGGGGCCCTGAAGGGGCGGGGCCACGGGAGCGGGAGCGGGGGCGGTGAGGGGCGCAGGCCCCGGGGTCGGGAGGAAGCGCAGGAAAGTGTCGGGCAGGACGGTGAGAGGCAGTTACCCAGCCCGTAAGAGACCTAACCTACTCTCACTAGAATCGTGAGTACCTACAAATAAAAATCATCTCTGGTTTCCCTCAGGGGCGTTTGAAGTGTACACATCTTACCCTTCAGTCAGGGATAACCAGGCTCAGCCAATCCTTTCATATTTTGACCCATTAGCCAAGGTCTGAGATCTGGCTCAGGTCGGTCCCTCCCGACCTTCCTTCACAGCAGCACAAATTTGCCAGCCCCCCTCCTTGCTGCTGGCCCAGCAATCCCTTAGCGTTGTAGAGCTTGCCGTTCCAAGGACTCCCCAGACATCTCCTTCGAGCTTCAAAACCTTGTGAAGTAGGCCTGGTCATCCCCATTCTACAGATGAGCCATCTGAGGTCCAGAGAAATGACATGAAGTGATGACACCCAGCAAGTGCCATAGCTTCACCTTGAGTCCCGGTCTCCCGGGGCTCTTTCTTACACTGCTGCTGTCCATGCGCATATGTTCTAAATGATACTTGTACTCTACATAAATCTCCTCTGTGAAGACTGATGGATTATAAGGATCATGGACTTTAGAATGAAAGGGACCAGAATTCCAATTCTAGCTCCTTCACTTTCAGCTAGGCAACCGTGGGAAAGTTACTTAACCGCCCGGGCTTCGATTACTCATCCGTAAAAGGGAAGAATAATAACAGGCACCACTCAGATAGGCACAGGAGCCAGGCAGGAAACACACAGGAGAGAGGTGAAAGTTGTCGTCCCGGGGACGGGGAGGGACACTGGCACACTAAAGACCATGTGTGGGGGTCTAGAGCAGCAGCCAGGCTCCGTGCCAGCCTGTCCTTATCTGGTCTCTTATTTTTCAGCGACAGCCACAAATCCAGATTCAAACCACCCCATGGTGGTTTGGGGCCCGTGGGCAACTTCTCGCATGGTTGCCTGCACTCACCTCCTTTCTCATTATCTACCCCGCCATCCCCACGCTGCCCAGCACACTGCAAATACAGCCCAACACTAAACAGCATGTTTTGTAGAGTTATATTTTCTCTCACTGGCTAGAAACACAATGTCTTGTATGCATATATGCGGGTATGCTCGGGGGCCCTGGTACTGTCATTGACTATGCTTCAACTGTCTCTTCAGATCCCTCTTCCCCGTCAACTGAATAAAGCAGCCAGTTTATCCCAAAAGTGATATCCAAACTTTAAATATGATGAAATCTCATGCTGGGATAGATAGTGAATCTTTTAGTAGTGGGAAGGGGAGGCTGCACAACTCCAGGGCTAGGAGCCTAAGTGGGAAGGTAGAGGAATTTTAGATGGGTGATAGTTGGAAATCAAGGACATGTTGCTAGTTCCCCTTGTTGGTCACAGAATCCTCTGCAGGGTGTCTGGGAGAATAGAGAAAACAAACCCTGGGACCTAGCCCAGTCTGATGAAGGAGACATTATCTCTTTCCTCAAGGACTTGAAGATGGATGGGAAGGACAGAACATAAATATACATTAAATAATGTAAACAAACGTTAAAATACTTGCAGATGATAGCTAACATTAAGTTTTATTATACACCAGGTACTGTGCTCAGTGCTTTACCCATATTTACCCATTTGATCATCAGCCCTATTTTATAGTTTGGAAAATTCATCTCTTGAACACCTTGCCCCAAATTGCAAAATTCTTAGTTTGGGAGAGGTGGGATTCGAACCTGGGGAGTCTGGTTCTTGCAGGCTCTTAGTCACTACGCCACCTTGCCCCTCAAAGAAATGGTTGGTGTGACTTCAAACAAAACAACTTTGAGAAGGAGATGAATTTTAGCAGTTTTAGTGTTCTCGAAATACTTGCAATGTTATAAACAATCCAGTTTTCAAGCTAAATTCCTCTAGAAAAATAAGGGCAGGTTGGACTATTCACTAAATTTTTGCACAGAAGAAAAGGGATAAACTTTGAATCTGTTTATTCTAAACACCCTAAGATTACCCCCAGACTTCAGACATGGCTTTCAGCTGTTTAATTTGCTGGATAAATTGATAAGAATAAAAGATGGCAGCCTTGGCTGTCAATGGAATGATGGTGTTGATGGAGTGGGGAGGGCGCCACCTACTGGAGTAATAGATGGATGCATTATCTTCGTTGGGCTGACCTTTTGTGCAAAGACTGATCAATATTGTGGGTTAGTTAGAGCAGGATAAAAGGTCATATCTTCTATCACGGAAAGATCAGTGAGATCATATAAGGGGGAAAAATCCTCTCCTTGGGCCTTACATTGCACCTCTAACTTCAGCTGCAAGTTAAAATGGAAAGTCCTTGACTGTAATGGAACGACACATGGAAAGTGTGATAACAGCAGCATACCCCTCCCAGGCAAAAAGCGAAACCTCAGGGTACTGAGCACATAGAATGCGCACTTTCTCATTAAGTAGGTCCTGCCTTGAGACAATAAATGAATGAATGCCTGTGGATTTTCTGTATTTAACTTCTTAATCCAGTGATGCGAGGCTCCTTTGCTTTCATCAAATAACCTTTATTCAGCTCTGCTTGTCAGTGTGCTGACCACCACAGAAGAGAGGCAGGGAGTGCTGGGGGAAAGGGGGCTTCTCCGAGGACCGCTGTAATTTTTTAAAAAAAAACTCCTTTTCTGGACTTCCCTGGGGGCGCAGTGGTTAAGAATCCACCTGCCAATGCAGGGGACACGGGTTCGAGCCCTGGTCCCTAGTGTGGGAAGATCCCACATACCCCGGAGCATGTGTCACATGCCCCGTGCGCCAAAACTACTGAGCCTGAGCTCTAGAGCCCGCGAGCCACAACTACTGAGCCTGCGTGCCGCAACTACTGAAGCCTGTGTGCCTAGAGCCTGTGCTCCACAAGAGAAGCCACCGCAATGAGAAGCCCGCACACCACAACAAAGAGTAGCCCCTGCTAGCCACAACTAGAGAAAGCCTGCGCACAGCAAAGAGGACCCAATGCAGCCAAAAGTAAATAAATAGATTTACTAAAAAAAAACCTTTTCCAAAGACTTTTTCAAAAGGTACATCCATTGTCTGGATGTATCACAGTTTGTTAATTCATCCACTTACAGAAGGACATCTTGGTTTTTTCCAGGTTTTGGCAATTATGAATAAAACTACTATAAACATTTGTGTGCAGGTTTTGGCATGAACACACATCTCATATGTACATGCATCCAGCAGCTGCACTTTTAGCTTAGTAGCTCAAAAAAAACCCATGTTTCTTTTGTTCTACTTGATTCACTCTATTCTCATCTAGGTTTAGTGCCTATTTGAAGAAAACAGACTTATGCTGTAATTTGTTCCAGGGGGCCCCCCACTCAGTACACACAACTCACCCATCCTGTTCTCTGTTCATGGTCTGATTATCTGATAGTCACTCTTTTCGTAGGAGAAACGAGATTTTTATTATTTTAAAATGAGGCCTGCTGTCTTCATTGTATGCTTGGCTGAATGTGGATTCTGTCCATCTTGACAGTACCTTTAATAAGATTCACACATGCAAATTCCCATCAGTGTTTGGAAAGACATTTTAACATTAATTCTGCCTAACATTAATTCACTGTAATACATTAAACTATAGATTTTAAGGTTGTTATTTAACCTTAGGAACCATGAAGTAAGATCAATGGTTTGATTGGCATGATTTGGCTTTGTTAGACTTTGTAATAAGTTGATAACAAGGAAGACCTTTCTTTTTTTTCTTTTGGTATTTCTTCTTTTTGAGAATGGTGGCTACGCTGTATGAAGAGATTCTAAACAACGCTCTTATACCTTGGTTAACCACATCTTCTGTTTCACAGAAAACAAGACAGAAGAACTAAGAAGGAAAGGCAGAAGCTCAGGAAGGGGTTAACCTGGGAAAAATTGACAAATAAAGTTCAAATGTCTTTGATTCCAACCACACCTCAGTATTCCATGACCTTGCCCCTCTGTCCTGAGAAATCCCATGTGATCTTCTGTGGGCACAATGGGGGCCTCTAATTATGGAAACACTGGAGTCCCTATTGCACATACTTTTGTTTCATACTTTTTCCTTTTTTAAACAACTTTACTGTTATACTTTCAATACCATTCATCCAATCAATGAATTTTAGTAAATGTATACAGTTTTTCAACCATAGCCATAATGAAATTTTAGAACAAATCCATCACCCCTTGTCCTTTTGCGGTCAATCCCCACTCCCAGCCCTGGACTCGGGCAAGAGCGGATCTGCTTCCTGTTTCTATAGTTTTGCATTTTCTGGAAAATTTATGTAAATAATCATGTACCACTTTGTGTCAATTGGCATAATGTTTCTGAGGTTCAACCATTTTGTTGCACATATCAGTAGTTTCTTCCTTTTAATTGCTGCATAGTATGCCGTTGTATAGATACACTACATTTTGTTTATCCATTCACCAGCTGATAGATATTTGGATTATTTCCAGCTTTGGGCTATTATAAATAATGCTGCTATGAATAAAAGGAAAAGAAAGAATGCTGCTGTGAATATTTGAATACAAGTTTTTGTGTGGACATACATTTTCTTTCTCTTTAGGTAGACCTAGGAATAATTTACTGGGTTGTGTTGTACATGTACATTTAATCTGCTGGAGATTGCCAAACAGCTTTGCAAAGTGGCTTATCACTGTAGCATATTACATTTCTACCGGCTGTATGAAAAGGTTCCAGTTTCTTCACATCCTTGACAACGGTTGATATCGTCAGTCTTTTTAATATTAGCCATTCTAGTGGGTGTTATACACA